TTCATGAACTAGCTCCTCATAGTTCATGTTCCATTTCCGAAATATAGATTAAAATATAAATAAATGTATAGAAAAAAATGTATAAAAAGTACTAAAATAGCATTAAACACTCAACAATTCACATAAAACAAAGTCAAGCTAAACACTTTTAGCAAGAATTTCTTTAAAGACAAGTTCCACTAGTTATTCATTTAACAAAGTGTCCTTATTCATTTCAACAACCAGTTCAATTGAGCAAATTTCAATAGCTCTGCCAAACAGATAAGACGCAGCAATGAGAAAAACAAACACAACCAAGAGAAACCAACAGACAAAGGCTTAAGTTCTTCGATTTTGAAATAATATTTAATGACCGTAAAATTATATAGAATGCTAAATTTGAATTCTGTTTGCTCTAAGCTCCGCCTCTAGTTGGCTGCATTTGTTTTTATTGCCAGAGTTTGAGCAATAATCATATTGCGGTTTGTTGGTTTGACATTTAGGAGGCTAGAGACTGATTAGCAATGGGATAGGCTATATGGGACGATGCCATTTCGTGTAGCATGCGATGAGATTAAGCAGCAAAGGCAATAAAAGTACAAATTGAAATGTTATCATAAAAAGAAAGACCAATTGAGTGCCTAAAGCTAATTGTTGTGCTAATTAGTTTAATTCAATAGGAGATTATTAGTGGTTATTATATTGTATAGATGTTGACATCCTATTAAAATTATAGGGGAAAAATTTATACATTTTAAATTTAATTTCATTATTATAAATTCCACACTTTGCTTTATGAAAATATGTAACAATTTGTAAAATAATTCTCATTTAAATTCCCCCTTCAGACTTGATAATTGAACTTGTTTACTGGAAGATCAAAGTTCGTTACTTTACCTCCCTTTTAAGAGCTGATGCATGTGCAAAACTTTCTGTCCGTAGGTATATGAAAGCCAAAAAGTATTTTTTATTTGAGTCTTAAGCGTGCATCAAAATTGAGCTGCCACTTGAAGTCTTTGATAGTTCTTACCCAGTGCAACTACTTTCAATAAATTCTTACTTGTTATTGCTGTTTGCGCTCTTTCGCGCGCTCTGTCACTCTCGCTCTCTCCCCTCTCTCTCTCTCTTTCTCACTGACTCTTTTTTGATATATATATAATATATTCAACGCACACATCGGACAGACTCTTAAAATGGCCATAAAGCAAATTGTGAAAAATTATTGTGTATATAAAATTTAATGACATGTCAAAAAGGATATCCGGCATACGGCATAAATGGCGAACGAAGTGGAGTAACTGAAGCAAAGAATGGGCGTTGCTCTGACATCGTCAATGTCCTTAGTCGTTGTCCTTGTGGCGCTGTCGTCTGTGTGGAGCAGCAGCACCAAAAGCTTGTTGTTTGTGGGTGGTATATTTAATGTGCTGTAAGTCCTGCTACATATGACGCTGACAATTTTAGTTTAGTTGTTGTCTGTCGTATTTGGTATTTGGTATTTGGTATTTACTTCTTCACAGTGATAGAGATATAGGAAAAGAGGCGAGATAGAAAGCAAGAAATACATAATCAAGCGCAACTTTATTATTTTGTCGAGCAACAACTGTTTCGTGTGGGCTACTACGATGCCTTCAAAGCCAGTCTAGTCTCTCTGCAGCTCGTTATGGCCGTCATCATTACCCCCCGTCTTGGCTGCTCCTGCTCCTGGTCTGCTCTCACTCTGGTCTCGCTGCACATTTTATAGTTTTCAAAAGTCACAAAAATGTCAATTGCTTGTCATGTGCGCTCCCCGAACGCCAAATGCCAATGCCATTGAATAAATTATATTGTGGCCATAAAATTGTTGCTGCCTGCTGCTGCATGTTTTACCATGCCAAAGTCTCACGTCCCATTCCATGTCCGGGCTTACTTAGTAATGCCAGCTACAAATAGCATCCGTCTGCCCGTTTTTTTTCTGCTGACCAACACGAGCAGCTGGATCCCCCTGTTTATTTGCATGTGCGGGCTAATCAGAGAGCTCAGCTCTTCAAAATTGATTTCCACCCGCCGACCCGCATCCCATTCTCGCAGGGTATGCAGCGGGTGGATTGCCGCTGTTTTGCTTATTAGATCACCCTCGGCATTTGCGATAATGACGCCATAAATGCTGAATTATGGCTGCATGCCAACCAAAAAATACAAGCAGAAATGGTTGAATTTTGAATGCTCGACTAGGCAATAGCCTGTAAATGGAAAACAGTTTTAGTCATACATTTTAATACTTACCAATTTATTGAGAATCTGATTTTTATACCCTGAACCCATTGAAAATGGGAAATCAGGGTATAATGGTTTTGTGAAAAGTATGTAACAGGCAGAAGGAATCATCGCAGACCCCATAAAGTATATATATTCTTGATCAGGACGACGAGCTGAGTCGATATAGCCCTGTCCGTCTGTCCGTCCGTCCGTCCGTCCGTCCGTCCGTCCGTCCGTCCGTCCGTCCGTCCGTCCGTCCGTCCGTATGAGCAAAAGGATCTCAGAAGATATAAGAGCTAGAGAGCTGAAATTTGGCATGCATACTCGTGTATACCATAGGCAGTACGAGTTTGCTTTATTTTTTCGATAACTCATCCGATAACTTTTTTATCGAGAATAATCGAAAAATCGACTTGGTTTTTTCAGCCTAGTTTGAACACTTTTAAACCTGGAGACTCCAAATTTGCGTTGTATATAGAGTTAATGGACACCAAGGTTTTGTACTTTACAGATTTTGGATACCACGCCCCCTTCGCCCCCAATTTGTAAAAAACGCATTTCAAGTACTAGAGACTTGTGCTTTGGATTGTACACACATTTTAACCATATGCTTACGCTCTGAAAGTTTCATTAAGATTGTGTGTCTACAAAAGAAATTATTCAACAAATAAATTCTCATAATATTGCCCACACTGCAGCGCAGCCCAAGCGCAGTCGCTGCTTACTGCGCAGTTAGCATAGCGCAGGCTTATGCGTGCGTGTGGATGCATGTGTATGTATGTGTGCATAAAAGTGCAGAATGATTAGAATATCAGCTTAGGGGGTTCAGGGTATCTCCTAGTCGAGCAGTCTCGACTGGAGCCTTCTTACTTGTTTTTATTTACATTACATTTCACTTCCCTTTGGACCTCATACACATCCTATATCCACAGCTTTTGCTCTTGATTTAATTGAGCTCTGATCGCCTTCTAACTCTTGATCTTTATCTCATCGTTAAACTTTTCAGACCTAATCAAACTATATACTCTTAAAAATTTACGAAATGATATTGATTTCATAACACTCTGATCAAAGTTTTTTCGACTCTTGTGAGATATTTATCGAATATACAAACATCCTATAATTTATAACTCTCTGCTCGCGGAACTTAAATGTACATCTAACGTTCGTATACTATCCTATTTCGAATGATTAATTACATATGTGTAACAATATCTTCTTCAGTCTGTTATAATCATTCATACAAACGCGCGTGCCATACCATATATGCTCCACAAACATTACAGGGTACACTATGAAAACAAAACTTGAGTTTTGGCATTCTTGTGAACTTAAGACCTTTTGAATTTTAATCAAGCTAAATATTGAAGCAGTTGCTGTTGCTCGTATTTTCACTTTCATTGCGCTGTTTATGTAGTCGAACGTCGGCCACATATAGATATGCTTGGTATTCGCATCCACTCATCCTTGTTAGGATGTGTTAATGTTCCACGCTTGAATGGCGCATAAATTTCTTGATGCGGTTTTTTATGCTCTACCATTTGTCTAACTGGGGTGACTGTCGAACTCGGGACCACTCGACCCTCGACTGTCTGAAGTAATTGAAAATATTTGAAATAATTCATAAAATTTTATGTGATTTGCGCTTTGAAGTTCGCTTATAAATACATATACATATCCATTTGGCAAGGCCATTAAAAAATAGTTTCAGCTCTCACTCTCTGTCGATAGCTCAGCGTTGATAATTGCTTTAATGATGCCATAACGTCGCCTTGATAGCGCCCTTTAATTTATGTGCCTCTGCCTCAGTGCCAACTGAAACTGCCCCAGGGCTAGCCCCTAGCTAGATACAATTACTTATGTATATGCATATCGTCACGATTTGTGTATGAATAAGTAAGCCGTCTAGTTTGCCATTGCATGATTTATATACGCTATGTGTAACGGGCCCCACCTGTATGCAGCTATATACCTGTGCACACTTGTCCCTGCATAACCACTTGAAAAACGTTAAATAAGTTGTCTAACCACACATTAAACCAATTTCGCTGTCCGGCTGTCGGACAGGCTGGCACCTTTCGTTGGGTGAGTTTGTTTTTGGGGCACGCCCACACACACACACGCCCACATGCTAACTTACGCCCGTACACATACACAGCAGTTTTTTGGACGCCATAAATCATAGGGAGAAACACGTATGTGACTACTTTAGCTCGGGGATCGATAAATTATTATTAGTTGGCCGGCCGCTGGGTCCGCAGCAAAGGAAGTTGTTAGACCCAACTGAAATCCTAGCCGCAGCGGTTCAAATGCCTTTTAACTTAACAACTTTTTCTGCCAACACCAAACATCACCACACACACACTTACACACACACTCACACTGACACACAGACACACACAAATCAATGAAGGACTTTGTCCTTGTTAGCCATGTTTGCTGCTGCACTGGCCGAACCCTTAACGTTGTGTGTAAAGTGGACTTGACATGAGATTAACATCTTCAAAAGCATAGCTTAAAGTATTTGTTAGAGTTCGTTGAAGTTCTTCCCTGGACTAAGGCGCGGTCTGTTTCGCCAACCTCCGTCGAGTCCCTTTTGGATAATTGCGTTCTTGTGCGCTGAGCCATGAGCTTAACTGTTGCTGTCATAACTAAGCGAAAAGGTATACAATTTATGAAAACGTCGTCCACTCCCAGCCAGTTGCTGACTCCAACATACCGACGGATGTAGACCCGTTCGGCACACTCGTTTGGAACAAAGAATGACCCACGTCGCGACGTGTGTATATTATAACAATTTTCGTTTGGATTTATTTTGTTGATTTCAATCGTTAAACAATGGCAAAATAGGATTCTTACTTACGACCTAGTAGGTGGAGTTGGTGGGGCGGTGTAAAGGCTCTAATCGTATACAGGCAGGTAGCAGCTGGCGCGCTTACAAGGCACGACGATGACGCAGTTTCAAGCGACGTACAGTCTTGTATTGGTATCCATCAGCAGCGAGAATAGCAGAATCCTGAGCGGGCTCGACTTCCTCAACTGGGACCTCGGTGGCAGCTTCTTCCACGGGAGGCAAGTATTCGTTGGCGATCTCGGAAACATCACGACGTTGACGGTACTTCAGACGACGGACAGTTTTGTATTGGTAACCATCATCACCAAGAACAGCGGAGTCCTGAGCGGGTTCTTCGACTGGGACCTCGGTAGCAACTTCTTCTGCGGGAGGCAAGTATTCGTTGGCGATCTCGGAAACATCACGACGTTGACGGTACTTCAGACGACGGACAGTCTTGTATTGATAACCATCATCACCAAGAACAGCGGTATCCTGGGCGGGTTCCTCAACTGGGACCTCGGTAGAAACATCTTCTGCAGGAGGCAAGTATTCGTTGGCGATCTCGGAAACATCACGACGTTGACGGTACTTCAGACGACGGACAGTCTTGTATTGATAACCATCATCACCAAGAACAGCGGTATCCTGGGCGGGTTCCTCGACTGGGAGCTCGGTAGCAACTTCTTCTGCAGGAGGCAAGTATTCGTTGGCGATCTCGGAAACATCACGACGTTGACGGTACTTCAGACGACGGACAGTCTTGTATTGGTATCCATCATCACCAAGAACAGCGGAGTCCTGAGCGGGTTCCTCAACTGGGAGCTCGGTAGCAACTTCTTCTGCGGGAGGCAAGTAATCGTTGGCGATCTCGGAAACATCACGACGTTGACGGTACTTCAGACGACGGACAGTCTTGTATTGGTATCCATCATCACCAAGAACAGCGGTATCCTGGGCGGGTTCCTCGACTGGGAGCTCGGTAGCAACTTCTTCTGCGGGAGGCAAGTAATCGTTGGCGATCTCGGAAACATCACGACGTTGACGGTACTTCAGACGACGGACAGTCTTGTATTGATAACCATCATCACCAAGAACAGCGGTATCCTGGGCGGGTTCCTCGACTGGGAGCTCGGTAGCAACTTCTTCTGCAGGAGGCAAGTATTCGTTGGCAATCTCGGAAACATCACGACGTTGACGGTACTTCAGACGACGGACAGTCTTGTATTGATAACCATCATCACCAAGAACAGCGGTATCCTGGGCGGGTTCCTCAACTGGGACCTCGGTAGCAACTTCTTCTGCAGGAGGCAAGTATTCGTTGGCGATCTCGGAAACATCACGACGCTGACGGTACTTCAGACGACGGACAGTCTTGTATTGGTAACCATCTTCAGCGAGAACAGCGGAGTCCTGAGCGGGTTCCTCGACTGGGAGCTCGGTAGCAACTTCTTCTGCGGGAGGCAAGTAATCGTTGGCGATCTCGGAAACATCACGACGTTGACGGTACTTCAGACGACGGACAGTCTTGTATTGATAACCATCATCACCAAGAACAGCGGTATCCTGGGCGGGTTCCTCGACTGGGAGCTCGGTAGCAACTTCTTCTGCAGGAGGCAAGTATTCGTTGGCGATCTCGGAAACATCACGACGTTGACGGTACTTCAGACGACGGACAGTCTTGTATTGGTATCCATCATCACCAAGAACAGCGGTATCCTGGGCGGGTTCCTCGACTGGGAGCTCGGTAGCAACTTCTTCTGCGGGAGGCAAGTAATCGTTGGCGATCTCGGAAACATCACGACGTTGACGGTACTTCAGACGACGGACAGTCTTGTATTGGTATCCATCATCACCAAGAACAGCGGTATCTTGGGCGGGTTCTTCGACTGCAATAACGGCCTCTTCAGATGGAGGGAGGTACTCATTGGCAATTTCGGAGACATCACGACGTTGGCGGTACTTCAGGCGGCGAACTGTCTTGTAACGGTATCCATCCTCTCCAACAGCAGTGGGGTCTTGGGCGATATCCTCGACGGGAACATCGGCCGCAACTTCCCCAAGTGGTGGAATATACTCATTCACGATCTCAGAGACATCGCGACGGTGCCTGGCTTGTTCGACAGGAATCACTGCAGCCGTCGCTGCGGCAATAAACATGCACGCAATGAAGAGTTTCTGCAATGATGTTGAACATTTGGGCAGTTCGAGAAGAATAACGTTTAATAATCCTTATTATATCCTCAGCTACCTACCATTTTAGTATAGATATCCAAAGCTAATTGTGTTATCGATGGAATCTATGGGTCGAATGATTAATAGTCGCAATTTGTCGGCATATTTATACGCTCTAATGTTTGCTAAGCGCCGACATAAACACACATAAACCAAACAATGACCAACACTTTGTTTGCTCCGTCTCTCCAAATAGCAACAAAGCACCCGGCAACAGTTAAGGCCCGAGTTTTGGTCATTAAGACAAGTCAGAGCATTTGCAAGCCAAATGCCCGCACATGCTCCCACTTACGATCTCAAGTGCCCCGTTCCCTGCCTCTGCTTCCGCTCTTGCCCACGCTTCAACTTTGACTATAGCCAAGCAGTTCATCATTTCACAGATGTTGCTGCTATTGGACCGAAAGCCGGTTCGCATCTAGACAGAGCGGAACTAAATACATTGTTTCACTTTCGTCAGCGCGTTTGAATGCTTCACGGTCAAGAGCTACCAAAACATAATAAGATTTAATGCAAAAAAAATAAAAAAAAAAAAAAAATATTTTTTTTTCCTTTAGATATATTAATGACAATCAAGTCTTTACGCCGTCATAAGAGTTTCTTATTTTAAACATTGCCACTTACGTTTTATCGTATCGGTAATTTGCGTATTACTATATACATATATATTTATAATTATATAAATATATATATATATATATATATGTAAGTTCAACGAACTAAGCCAAAGTTGTTTAGAAAGGTCGCTTGTGAATGGTTTTGAGTTGAAGACTTTGCTCGTGTTTGATACTGTTTGTGTTTCATGATATCATGACGTACTGCGTAAATGCGTACATTATCAGCTAATTGAGCGAGCCGGGACTTGTTTATGGCTAGAGCAAGTTGGTAATGGCTTCGCTTGTAAATCCAGTTACTGCTATAAGGGTATCAAAAAGATTCCGCCAGAAATGTAGTCAAGGAACAAAAACAGCTTACAAATTGTGCGCATGTTTTATGCGTTGGCGAAAACTTTGGCTATGAAATTCATAAACTTGGCCAAAACAAGCAGCCACGAAAAGACAGCAGCGGCAGCAATGGCAGCACCACCAACAACAGTACAAGCAGCAGCAGCATAAGCAGCCTGTGCTAACGTCCTCCATCAACCAGCATGTGGGACAGTTAAAAGTTTTTCACAAATCATGCATATGATGTTGGGGCACTTTTTGCCGTGGCACACAGCTGCTAAAGCCGGCCCAAAAGGCAACTAATTAAAGGAGCCAAAGACACCGCAGACGAACTGGAGTTTCGGTCCAACGAAAAAGTTTGCCTCTCTTCAAAGCTCGCCGGGATATGTGTGTCAAGTGCCAGCCAGCCAGCTAGCCAGGCAGCTAGCTCAGAATGCGGTAAACAAAACAAATGGAGTGTGCAATCTGTCGTAAACACTCATAAATTTCCACTATAGTCCCAACTCAAGCGGCCAACTATCGCCAACATCTGCACCTAAGCTCAGCCGAAAAATCCTGAACAGCCTTATCAACAGTGCTGCCAAGACTGGCGAAGAAAAAAACTAGCTTTAAGCGGGAAATAATATCACAGGAAAACATAATTTGAGCAAAAACAAAATATATTTTAATTGGTGTATGAATTCTTTTTACAATATTACACACTAGAAATCGAATATATTATATATAAATTATATTTAACCAAAGTCAATCTGAAATCAGATAATGGTTATCACATTGGATGGCTGAACAGTTATAGGGTTATCGAAAGAGATGTTAACCTTTTTATCATAAGACAGGTGGGAATGGAGTCTGCTTTACACTAATTTTGAGCAAGAGAGGGGATGCTCTCTTCCGGTAAGTAGTTGGATTCGATGATATATCGAGCATGTATAAATTTGTTTAAAAAAAAAAGCATTACTTTCCGAAACCGTAAAGTTAATTGATTCTGAATCTGAAATAAACCCTTTCATTTTTGAGCTATTCTAATTTCAAAGACGAATTTAGCAAAACGAGTTTGTTCATTGTTTATAAAGTTTGAAAGTTTGCTAAAACATATTGTAAATTCATTATCATGTAAATTCAACATAAAGCTAAACTTAGCATTTTTATTGCTAATGACGGCACAAGCTTCAAATTAAACTAGCTAAGTTGGCACCACTGGCTGACAACGTTTATCGCCATCATTCAAAACGCCACTTGCGAAATCTTGTGCAGCAGCTGAAGAGTTTTCGTCGGCGGTTAGCTGTTGTTAGCTGAACTGAAGCATGAACATCCAATGACACATTCTAATATAATATAAACGATGTTTTATGACAATCAATTTGTTACAATTCAATAGACACACAACAACCAGCAATCTAACTGTGTGTGTGTGTGTGTGTGTGTGTGTATGTGTATGTGTGTTCTCATTTATGTGATTATTTGATTTGTGTGTTTGACGTTGACATTCATACGGAACTCGATGTCGATGCTGCTGCCGATGCGGATGCCGTTGTCGACGTCGTGGGTCCCCCCACTCCGTAACCAAATCTCTGGTCACATAACGAATTTTATGAACTAGAAAGTATCATTAACTTAATACGCATACGCGTACGCAGAGTCAAGGATATGCCGGCTGGGCGAACGTTAGTTATGGCTATTGTAATGTAAATACGCGACATGCAATCATAAATAAACATTCGACACAAACACAATAAATGTCAGAAACTTTTGCCTATTATCCATTCGGCAGTTAATGCCAACTCCTTTCGCGCTCCCCATACAGCGCTTTATTATTTTAATGATTTTCCAGCGCCGCTCTGTCCAGAGAGCTGCTCCTTCGTCTCTCTGTCGCTGTCGCTGCCCCGATGCTGCGATCTTTTCAGTCGCTGTTCCATTGTGCTCACATTTATAATTCAATTCGCTAGCAGCTCGACAGCAACAGCCGCAGCCGTAGCTCCAGTTCCAGTTCCAGTTCCTCTTTCAGTTGCAGTCGAGCGACGGCTTGATTTACTCTTTGCTTTTGGGTATTGTCATGTTGTCAGCAAATGTGCAGGGTAATTATAGGTTATATAGGTAATTATCTATTTAATTAAATATCAATTTTTCAGTTAATCAGCTCCTTATTATTATTTTTTTTGGCCCTTCCCATGCTTAAAGTCTATCATCCAGTGTATCTATGATATATATCATATAGTAGCTCCACTTGCTACACACAAATATATGCACAAGGGTATATAGATTTCGACTCTTCTAGGAAAATGGTGTTTTCTTATTCCATTTCGCTCGCTCAGTTATTATTTTACATGTCGTTCGTTGGCTCACTATAATTTATTAGCAATTTGCATAATTTTCTTTTATTAAGCAGTTGCCGTTGGTTTCATTGTGCCAACTTTTTGATTTAAATGCTGCTGCTACTCCCTTTGTCATCGTCATCCTTGTCGTCGTCGTCCTCGTCCTCGTCATCAACTCTTTTCTGGGCAATGTTATGCAAATGTGGCTCGTAATACCCATAAGGTCTGGTAGTTTATGGCAACGCAGCCCTTGTATTATTATTGTCGACTGTCAGAATCATGAATACATTTTTGGCTTTGACTACAATCTGCCCGACGGGTTTCTGGATTCAAGGTCAAACACACTTAATATTTTGGCCATATTTAAAAGGGCATTAATTGAAATACAATTATGCTCCAAATAGAGCTAATATTTTAATATACTCACACAAATGTTTAACTTTCAATTAAAATTGAGTTTAAGAACTTTCGACTTCACATAGAAAAGAAGTAAAACAAACGCAGAAGGCAGCTAACAGATAGCTCATTAAGAGACCATATGCTTGAGGGGGAATATTAAGCTGGGGTGGATGGAGGGCATGACCACATCATTAAACAATCTTCAAAACTAGTTTGGGGCAAAGAGAGAGAGCGAGAGAGATAGCGTGCTGGAAAGGAAAAGAGGAAGCAGCAGCAGCTGCTTTGTAGTCAATGCTTAAGTAAAACTAAATGAAACTATTTAAAATGCAATTTACTGCAAATCAATCGGGCGGGTATTTGTAATTAGAAAACCAACTCACACACACACACATAGTACACACAAATCTAGGGGCGGTGTAGGCGTGTCACAATGCCTTGAGCCTGTGAGTCTGTGGCCAAGACTGAGACGCAGACTGAATCAGCTCTGTTTATTTGTTTGTCTGTTGGCCTCCACAGTTTGACTTGAAGGTATTAGAAACTAATTTGTCCAAAGAGAGAGCAAAGAGAGAGAGAGAGAGAGAGAGAGAGAATGAGATACAAACAGCCAATTGTTTGCCTGTCTATCTATCTCAGAGGCTTTAGTTCGGGTCTGCAGTCATCAGGCTATGGGGCTTTGCTCTTTTGTCAGGCCAGCACAAAAATCCAAAGGCAAAACCAAATCCTTGGCATGAACAAAGCACAGACAAGGACTAAATCATATGCTTTGACTCTGGGCCGTCTCTTCCGGCAGTTGGACAGCCAAAAACAAAGAAGAAAAAAAAAAAAAAAACACAAAAAGACGACTCATCTCGTTTTTAAGTCGCTTGCGGCTTAAATTTTCTTAAATGTTATATTGTCTTTACCAGCTGGCATAACAACGGACAGCACATGCCAAGTTTTTATGGATTAACTAAACAAGCTCATGAGTAAATATTTTCAAGCATATTTTGGCAAACTTTACAATGAAGTTGACGACGTTTCGCTTCCCCAGGCATCGTCTTTAGTCTAGAATTTTGAGCTACGCACTGCAAAATTTGCCACATACACACACACAGACGAAATCTGCACAAATATTTGCTTAAATTTTGTTGTCAAAATAAGCAAAAATATGCGCAGTGTGCGCAACATTTAAAGTTTTGCTTTAGCCAAAAAATACTCGAACTAGCTGAAATTCATTACAACAAATAGTTGACATACCCTAACTGAAGAGGTCTAATAACTTGGTCAATTAATGCTTGAAGTGCACAAAGCCCAATGATGTTCATATATATATATAAAACTCTGACTTGAGTGGCTATAGGCAAACTCAGCTAGTAAACCAAATTATAAAATTAAAATCATTTGTCATATACCATTTGCCATATGTCTTACATAATGATTTATTAAAGAATTTAGTTTAAGATTTGGTGATTGTTTAAGAGTATCACATAGCTAGGAGATGTTCAGTCATCTCAGCAATAGCTCACTTTTAGCTCTGTCAACCAGTCCATCAATTAGCTAGTGAGTCAATCACTAGTCAGTCAGTCAGTCACAAAGCTAT